GTAGGGGTGAGCAAGTACCGAACCGATACCGAAATTTCCCGAAAATACCGAGAATACCGAACCGAAAAATACCGAACCGAAAAAGTACCGAGAAGAAACCGAACCGTACCGAACCGAATGGTCGGTACGGTATTTGGGAACGGTACGAGGTGACGTACCATACCGAAAATCCCGAACCGAACATATATACTAAAATATTATAAAAAATAATAACCCGGAGTAATATTTTTCATATTCCTTCACTAAATAATACGGAGTAATTTTTAAAAAAATATTGCTTCAAGTTTTATCATGTGTAAGTTATACTTTTATTTGAGTTTTAGTTTTTGTGTATAAACATAAAAGTATTCACAAAGATTCGAAAAACCCTTTGTTGTCGTTCATTTTTTAGTTTGTGAAATATAAACTATGTTTTGATATGCATCCCTTGCATTTAAATATTCATTTTTTTTTAATTTTTCACGTTTTTTTATTTAAATTCACTTTTAATTTTCAAAAATAAGGGGACATTGTTAAACTTTAAGGTGTAAAGTAGGTATGTATATTCATCCCGATTTGTACTGAAACCGATACCGAACCATCCCGAACCATACCGAACCGATATGTCGGGATCGGGATCGGTACGGTGTAAAATCCCATACCGAACCGAAATATTTGGTACGGTATCGGTATGGGCTAAATACCGTACCATACCGTACCATGCTCACCCCTAGACTAAAACACACTTTTTAGACTAACTTGCTCTGAATTGAAATCCGTTCACGTCGTTGGATTTGATTCATCGACCCTAACCCAACGATATAACTTTTACAATCAATTGACAAGCATTTACTAGTTCCACCTGGTCCGTCTTAATTATTTCGATTAATTAGTGTCGATCAGTCTTTTAATTTAAATCTTTACAAATATAATCAGATTAGTCTCGTTATATTGAGACAGTTAGAATCTCCAAATTACTTTTTACTTAATTAAAGAACACATTATCCTAAATATATAATTCTTATTTATTTAATTATCAATTAGTTTCTAGACCAGTTTTCATAGCGTTACAGATATCCTCTACCTCCAGCAATCTAGCAGGAGAGGCTATGAGAGATTTTCTTTCATTAGAAATCTCTCAATACAAGGACGAAGATGACTGGAATCCTGAGGCCAATGCTGGAAACAAAGATGGGTTGATTGGTGAAGCATAAGTGGGTATAGAAAAAGTTGATGAGGAAGATGCTGAGGTTGACTCTCTTCAGCTGCAACAACAGCACCCTTCCTCTCCCCAACCAGGTAACACACTTCAATTTCCACTGCTCCACCACAGAACCCTCTCTTCCAGATGACATGCCTGAGCAATGGGCCAGAAGAGTCCAAGAGAAGATTGACACTTCCTTGGCTGCTCAAAGGATATCATTCCAGGAGATGATGGACAAATCTGAAGAAAAGCACAGCTCAAGTCTTCAAGAACTAAGGAGTTCCTATGACAAAAATCTTAAGATCATTACTCATATGAACTCCTTAATAAGTAATTTGCTTCTGACCTATGCCTATGACTCCCATCTCCAACACAAAGATATTGTGGAGAACAATGAGCAACTGGCTACTGTTACGAAGAGCCTCCAGAAGCAAATGGGCCTTGTCCAAATAGACATCAGATCTGCCCTGGCTCTTTCTTCAGCAAATCAGTGTGTTGCATAGGATTACTTAAGAGTTATAGCAGCTACCCAGAGGGAAATCTTCCGGGCATTCAAGAGTATGGCCAGTTTCACTCGCACACACACTCTGAGTGTAACTCTACAGGAGACAAGACTCCCTGAAAACCCCAAGCAACCTATCTAGATCACACAAGGAGAAGCAAGCTACATCCCTACCCATCTGAGGTTAAGCGACACACTTCTTGATGCCCAACACAACAATTTAGAGCTCTCCTCACAGCATCTAAGCTCCAATCAATTTGATGGCACAGAGGATCTAGGAACAGAGGCCTCAAACTTCATAAATGAAAAACATCAAGAAGAAAGAATTGAAAACTTGAAGCGAATATATAAGAGCTGAATGTGGAGTATTTCAAGGTTTGGGAGAAGTTGCTTCATCCTCCAGACCATTAAAGTGAAGAAGAACCTCAAGGTTTATTCCATCAAAACAAGGGGAAGTTTTCTTATATACACTTATCGTTTTGATGAAAACACCTTCATGATTAACATTCATTGTTTAAATCTCTTGCGCATTTATGCTTAACTTTTTGAGATTTATTCTGGATAAATACTTATGCATAAATTCAGGGGGAATATGATTAACTATTTTTAGCTTATGTTTTTATTGTGGCAATGAACTACAGGTGGAACTCTAAGCATGGAAGTCGGATATCTTGTCCTTTTTACTCTAGAGTTGGAGACCTCCATTTCAGGTATTCTACAATGTCTGCCTTCTTGAGTTTTAATCCTTAGTTCATTTCCTCCTCTTGCTCTAAGAATTGGTCCTTAGGATAGTTAATTGTAAAGGAGTTTGGAAAATTAGTACCAATTTTTTTAATAAAACTAAAAAAGAATTTGTTTTTTGGTACTACCTCGTCCTACTTAGAATTTAAAGCTTTAGGGAATGAAAAATGATAGACTTTATTTTTGGCCTTGAGAACCCAATAGGCATAATTTCCCTTGAGTGCATATATATTGTTTTTGGGCCATTCTTGTGAGCTTAGCCAAAAATCCAACAGTTATCTTCCTGACAAAACCTACCCAACTGAACTCATTTAAGCGAGAAAATAGTCTTGGAACTCGGTAACTGTTAAAGCTATTCCACGGTTCAAATTTCAAATCCTCTCTTGGAAGTTGAAATTCAATAAACCATCCCTTCCACTACTCCATCTATTTAAGAGAGCTTTTCCATATCAAACTTCCATCACAACAAATATCAATATCTTAATTATGCAAGTTCTTCAAACATTCTACACGAGATATTCACCCAGAAAGATTCCTTCAATGGAGAAATTCTTCTTCCTCACCCTCATAGACAACTTTAGAAATAGCTTTGTGGGAAGAAAAGAAATTCAAGGTGTATGATGAAAATCTCGGTAGTAGAGAACGTATATGGTGAAAATCTCAGATTTTTGCCTTCCACCATTAACCCTCTCCAGATCAGCACTCTCCCTTCATCTAACACCTCCTCCATCTCCACCATCTCCCCTTCAAAACTTTCTTTTCCCCTCCCATTCTTCTTTCTCCAACTCCTCTTCTTTCTCTTTCATCACCTTCACATCCTTCTTTCCGTTTTCTCCGTTTCTCCACCCCCATCACCATTCTTTCTGTTTCTCAACTTTCTTTTTTTCTATTCTCTTCCATCTTCCTCTTTTCCATTTCTTAACTTCCTTTCCTGCTGATTAGTTTAACTGATCTTCTTTCTTCGTTCTCTTACTTGCATTTCTTTTCTTTCTTTTTCAATCTTCATCTTTGGGAGCAGTTCTGATCCTTAGATCTTAATGTCCTCTTTGGATGTTAAGATCCATTAAACTCAAGACTGCCATCGTCTTCAAGCAGATAAGTTGAAGACAAAAGCTGCTCTTGACTGTATTATCACAAAATCTCAAGACAAGACTTGGTTTAGGAATAATTGTAATTTACATTGTATTTTTTTAATATTTTTGTTAACAAGTTGTATATTATGAAAAACTAAAAGAATGTTATAAAATTAGTTCTCAGTATAGCGACCGGAACTCTTAAACACGTGTTTGTCATCATCAAAAGGGGAGAAATTGTTGGGAAAAAATATTATTGATTTTGATAGTGATGTATGCAGACTGTAATAGAGCCTCATTAAAGTTTGCGTGTCTCTCTCTCTCTCTTACTCTCTTTAATTTTTCTAATTATCTTAACTGTGAAACTAACCGATCCATATGGAATTACTGCTCTAATAATCCACCAACTTCGGTACACTAAGTTCGCAAGAACTTAAGATCAACAACTCTTCAACTCACATTTTCCAAAAGAACGAAAACGTTTTTAATTTGTAACAAAGTGTATTCACCCCCCCCCCCTCAAGACTTTGTAGCTCACCACTTCGGGGACCATCATACCCTTCAACAATGCTACCTTCTGGTCTATAATGGTTCCTTACATACCTTTTAAGAATTCACATCAAAAGGATATATATGCCTTAAATATACAAGGCCACAAAGCTTAACCTCTCTGACAAAATGAACCACTAAATAAACCAAAATATCAAAGAAGGATGGGGGAAATTACATCTCGAACTTACATAAAGTGACAACCACCTAATCTTGGAGTGCGTCCAAAGTTTCTGAACCAATCACTTTGCTACATATTTCATTGAAAAAGTAACAAAGTCTCGTTATCGCCCCCTAACATTCGTTGGGAACATCGCTCGAATTTCCACTAGCAAGAAATGTTGCACTAGAATATTGCAATCATGAGACTTCAGTCCAACTAATTTCAAGTGCTGCATCGGCACACAACTCCTAATATTGCCAACATACCATTGTGGAAGCTTGATACTTTGTAGAAATTTACAAAGATTAATTTTCTCTTGTCTACATAGCGTGTAGCAAGTAGGCGGTAAGAATGTGCATTTCCCTCTTTTTTACAAAGCAAGCTATGCTCTTATGCATTTGACTACAAGGTCTTTTCATGCATTTACAACATCTTTAGTCTTTCCGGGTATGTTTAAGAGGGTGTGAATCAGATTGTCAAATATGTTCTTCTCGATGTGTATCACATCAAGACAATGTCTAACCAGTAAACAGTCCCAATAAAGAAGCTCAAAACAAATGGACTTTTTTCCAAAGTGGGTCATGTACATCACGTTTTTAGGTATTGCCAAACACATGGTTTATATTCTTGAACTTGTCATGTAGCTCCTTATCGGTCAATGTTCTTGAACCAATATCGTCTTCTGCTTTCCCATTGAAAACTTTTCTCATATGGCGATAAGAATGACTACACTTGAGAAATCAACGGTGACCCAAGAAAACAAATTTTCAACCATACTTTAGCAATTCACTTGAAGTATTCTCCTCGCATATCAAACATGCCTTTATTTCTTTCACTTTGTAGCCATAGTACTTGGCCAGTGCTGGAAGCGCAAAGGCCTCATGCATCGAGACTAGGTCCCGGAATGAACAAAGGTATCCCTCGGTAAGATATGAGATGCCTAGAATGCTGGCTCATGCTTTATAAACTAGTTAAAAACACACATCGCGAGCATTTTTTGTCCAATGTACTAAGTGACAAGTTTTTTTACTCACTCCCATTCCCATAGGATTTACTACCTCCATCTTTGAATATTTGTTGAGTTATGATTTTTCGCAGTTAACCACTCTTTATCTTAGACCTATAACTAATTAAAATTTATAATGTATATTGATTCAATAAGAGAATATTTTGAATATACTAAATGAAACAAATCTAATAATACTATCTTCGTATCGACATCTAATACTTCGTATATATTTTATTTAACTAATAATCAAAATTCGTCAATTTTGACTACAAAAACTCCAAATTGGATAAATAATCAAGGGCCAAGGTAGTATATGTAATGACCAAGGATACGGAGACTAGATCTAGAACGACCTAATATATCGATCTTTCCACTAGATCTCGTCAAAATATTGGCTCAAAACTACCTAAGAACTTGTATATTTGTATTCCAAACATTTTTTCATGGTCGTATGTGATGAGCCTGTTGGTTAATCTATGTTCCCTTAGTTTTGGCATACTGAGTTTTGGCAGTTCACCTTTGATAATTTAGATGGATTACTAAGTTTTAGCCCTCAAAATTTGAACTTCCTGTCATCCTTAAGTCTAAAGGGATGTGGTAGATTTCACTTACCTTTTTACCCCATCAAACTCCCAATGTGCAAGACATTATCTTATCTAACCTCCATTCATAAAATACCATTTTGATACACGGGGTTGTCTGGGCATTGTGTTATCTATTCTCGTAGATCATTACATCGGGTATACTCTTTTCTACTCTAACTTTGGGATTTGTACTTGAAACATAACACTAGACAATGACGGGTACATGTAAGTTTGTGGGGTGCAGCAGAAATCGCCAATTGAAAGCTATGCAAACAGATCAAATAACTATGGTGCAAAAAAGATACAACAGCACTGCCAGAGTAACAGATGACAGACAGAGTGCTATAACATATTCTCTATCACAAGTACACACGTAGAATATAAACTAAAAATAGTAAGCAAGACACCAGAATTGTTTACGCAGTTTAGAGAACTCTCCTACGTGTGCAGGGCCCATGTTCGTGCAATAGCCCTCCACTAAATCAGTAGATGTAATTTACACTGCTACATAACAACATGACTATGAGACACACTTCTCCGAATTGTTATGACAAAATTTCTAATCTAGAATTTCTAACCCGTACCCTGTACAAATCTGCTTTGGCTAGCACATCTCCACCGAGATTACAAGGACAAACGTGTTGGCAGCCCACTTGTTCAGCTCCAATTCATCTCCTATACGTCACAATCTGTTTAGCATTAAAGATCTCCTCCCTCATGTACATCGTAACCTTCTTCACGAATGGGAAGCTCCGAGACGTGACGGGAATGCTCTACATCAGCGTATATTCTTTGTTTTCCCTCTCGATCGCTCCCCATAATTCCCAGGGACCTGTAGCGTTTTTATAGGCCAATCGTAACCCAATCCTAGTAGGGATAGGTTAGTAGAAGTTGGCTTGCATACAACTTCCTTAATCTTGATCCAGAAGTAGCCTAA